GGTCTAGAGGAGAGAGAGAAAGCATATGGCAGGGTTTGCTCTTTTATACTATATTTGAACTTGGGGGTGGGCTTTTACCAGCCACTTCCCCTCCTCACATCCCCAGGAAGTTGCTAGGTAAAAACTGGCTGCAGGAGGAAGGTGGAGGTAAAGGTTGGGCAATATTGATTTCATTACTACTGACAGTGGTCACCTTTAGAGAACAATAACTGAGTCCAGGGTTATTGTCTTTTGATGACTGTGGCTGATGAGTTGATGGGTTTAGCTGGGCTGTGGCAGTCAGCTATCCCTATTCAGCAAGCAGTCCTTTTGTTACGCCTAAGAGCCTATGTGCAGTCTCTGGTGAATGTGAAGGGGGTGGGGTTTTTTTGCCTGCGTGCTGAAGGTTTGCTCATGGAGTCTCTTCAGGATTTTAAATCCCTTTTGCAGAATATGGCGTTCCCCTATAGCAAATGGTTGCTGGCTTCTGTGTGCTTTCTGTGGCTAGGGTGCTTGGTCCTCTTTCTGCTGCGCTACAGGTGAGGTAGGGCAGGTGACTCATAGGTCCATCTTTGGCCTGGTACATCATCACAGGAGAAAGCTCTCATCTGCTGGGTGTGTGCCTGCAGTCCAGGTTGATGGCAATATCACATGGTCCCTGTATATTCCATTTCCCTTAGCACACTAATTGCACTGTCCATAAGTCCATAAGAGGTGGTCTTGCAGGGCAACACAATATACATCCTTGTGGTACTCCTTTTGCTATGCGAAACCTATCAGTTGTTCCATATCTGGTTCTAACTGTCACTTCTTGACCCTTATACAAGTTTCTCAAGAGACAAGTGAGGTAGTCTGGTACTCCCATCTCTTTAAGGACTTGCCATAGTTTGTTGTGGTCCACACAATCAAAGGCAATATACAGGCAATCCTGTATAACAATCTTACACAGTCATATGGTGTCAGCGACCCTTGATTTGAAAGTATGAGGTGCCCCTTTGCTGCTGGGACTTGCAGGCAACAATTTAGAGATTGCAAGATCAGTTAACTACTTTCTGCCAATACAACAACAACAATAAAAATTGTATTTATACCCTGCCCTTCACTCAGGGTGTCAGAGTGGCTTACAATCTCCTTCTGTTCCTCTCCCCACAACAGACACCCTGTGAGGTAGGTGGGGCTGAGAGAACAGTTCTGAGAGAACTGTGACTGACCGAAGGTCACCCACCTGGCTGCATATGGAGGAGTGGGGAATCAAACCCGATTCTTCAGATTAGAGTCTGCCACTCTTAACCACTACACCAAACTGGCTAGATACAAGTAAGCACAGAGGACTTGCTTTTACTATCAATGCATTTGCAAGACTGGTTCAGCTCACCTGTTACTTCAAAAAGCAATACTGTGATTGTCCTAATAACTTTTCTTGGTAAACAAACCCTGTAACCTCAGAAGGAATCATATCCACATAGTGTTAAAGGTTATAGCTCTAGTGTTCAGAATAAAAGGATATATGAGCCTTTTTTCAAATGTCCAATAAACTTGAATAGGAAGTAAGGAAAAAATGGGGCGGGGGGGAGAAGAGAAAACAGGTAAGGAATGGAGGACCTCAGACATTCAACACTGCATTAAACATCGCCCAGTCTTAACGCCCACTCAAGTCCTGTTGAATTGATGGTGTTTGTATTGCTTCAAACATTATGGAATACAAAGGTCTTTGGTCCGCATTCTGTGTAACAATCAGACATGAATGGTGGGTTCTCCTCAAATCCTGTGCATGGCACCTGATTCAGCACACATGGAGAACAGGGCTCAGCCTTCTTCTCCTGTGTACCAACCTGAAATGGTTGGAGGAGTGCTATGTGGCCTGCTGGGAAAAACTTGCATGTACCCTGTTTGGGAAGATCACCAATTTTTTTACAAGTGCTGCACTTGTACCTTTAACAGCTGCTTGATGCATACAAATTCAATACTTGAGCCTTTATTTCTATAGCAGGAAAAGGAGTGGAAAAGTTCCACCCATTTATTTTCTGCAATTTAGACTTCTGTTAAAGACACAGGTATGGGGCCAGGAACGTGTCGGTGGTTCTTTTTGTTACAATATAACATGCCAACAAAATTACATTGGTCTGATTTTTTTTTTTTGCAACACCCATGCAAAAGTAAAGGTAAAGGTTCCCTTGCTCGAAAGCCAGTCGAATCCGACTCTAGGGTTGCGGTGCTCATCTCCGTTTCAAAGCCGAAGAGCAAACAGGCATCCATGCAAACAGGCATCCAATTAGCTTTGCCAGAAGAGGAGGAAAAGTGGTGAACTAACCAGAGGTAAATATAATGAACTGAACATGGTATATATAATGCATGTATGTATACCACTGCTGCCGCTGCCTGTACAACATACATTGTCTGCCTAAAACACCATCTGTCCATAATGTCCTTGAACTTAATCTGCTTCAGGCACATCATTATACCCAGCAATAAGTAGCTAGCTTGCCAACTAGTAACCTCTTACATAACAGATGGTGTGATGGTGTGGGATCATGAAACACTTGTGAGACAAGAGACCTCTTTCCTCATCACGGTTTGGAAACGCAGGGTGCTTTCCAACTGCTGCAAGTCACACAGAGATTGTGCTGACCCTGCTTAGGCCAAATTGCAGAGGAAGAACAAACCCAAATGACCAGGTGCTACACACAGCCTATATCCTAGATGGCATCGTTAAAAAAAAAAATCATTGTCTTATACCTTTATCAGTAGCCTGACAAGTGTAGCTTTCCCCATAACCTTGATCATTTCACATATGGAAGAATGGGAAGAAAACTCTTATTAACTTTACTAATGTTTATTTCTTTCACTATCTGCCCTTTTTGACATAAATGGAGAAATAACTGGTTGTATGCTTGATCAGCGCTTCACCTATTGTCCCCCTCTTCCCTCATACTGCTGCTGCTGCAAGGGCCTAAGCGGGGGATAGGAAAGACCTAATGGTCCACCTTGTCTATCTCATCTACCCTACTTCCAGATAAGGTTGCCAATTCCAGCTTGGAAGATTCCTGGAGATTTGGGGGTAGCACCTGCGGAGGGTGCAGTTTGGGGGAAGGGATGGAGCGCAGCAGGGATGTGATGCCATAGAGTCTGCCCTCTGAAGCCATCATTTCCTCTAGGAAAACTGATCTCTGTAGTCTGGAAATCAGCTGTAACTCTGGGGAAACACCAGGCCCCACCTCAAGGTTGGTACCCTACACACAAAACATCCTTTCTCCAGGTCACCTCCTCAAAGTTCTTGCCCCAAAAATTCACACTGATCTATCACTCTGCTTCCGGTGGTGGTGTGACAACTGAAGGACGCATTATGCATGCACAAAAACACTCTTTAAACAAACAAATGAAAATATCATACTTCACATGGCCTAAGGAATCAAAAGCATATTCTGGAGAAGTTTAGAGACCAGTGTTCCCTCTAAGCTGAGTTAGTGTGAGCTAGCTCACAGTTTTTTAGCCTCTGGCTCACACATTTTTGTCTTAGCTCAGGAAGGATGGCTCCAGAGCAAACTAATTTATGCAGTAGCCAAATTGCTCGCTCACAACTTTAATGCCAGTAGCTCGCAAAGTAGAATTTTTGCTCACAAGACCCCACAGCTTACAGGAACACTGTTAGAGACAGCTCCAATTAAGCCTTGACAGTCTGAACTCATAATTCATCCAAAGGCCCAAGTGCACCCAGCACTGCTCCTCAATAGCTTCTGGTTAATATCTCCACTAGGGGAATTAGTGAATCTTGTCTTTGAAAACTCTAAGAGGCTACCAACCTACTATGGTTTATGCCAGTGGTTACAGGAGGGATTCCCCCCACCCCATGCAGTAGTCATGGGTGCTGTGGTGCCCAACAATATGCTTCCTGGTCTTGGCTTGCTTCACCTCAATGAAGCTAGAGGTATTACCTTTGGGTCTGCAGAGTATTCCTATTCAGAAACAGTTTCCTCTTTCATGGGAGGATACTTGGCTTTGGACTGCCTGACATTTTATGGCAGGAACCTTCACACATTTTCTTACTGACTCCAGCTCCATGGGCCATGGCAGACATTTGTTGTGATGCCCACTGCCCCTTCTCAAAATTCCGACAGGCTAATAAGCAGGATTGAGGATTACTGCAGTAATATTAATTTCATTTCCTACACGGGCAAGAAGATAATGGTTGGTTTGGCTTTAGGACAGTTTCAGAGAGTAACTGTATTGGTCTACAGTAGAACAGCTAGAATCCAGTCCAGTAAGCACCTTAGAGAACAACAAGATTTTCCAAGTATAAACTTTTGAGTGTCAAAGCTTTTATACCCTCCAAATTATGTTGGTTTCTAAGGTGCTACTGAACTTTTTAGCTGACTTTAGGACAGTTACACACACAGAGTCTTTGCCTACTCTACCTCATAGACTTGATATGTAGGAAATCTGACAAACCCCTGCTTGAACATCACACTGAACTCCTTGGAAGAAGGACAGGAAATATAAAAGAGAGGAATGAATGGTATTCTGCTTGTGTTCTGGTATTCTGCTTGTGCAAGAGGTTATGAGGCGCACACCTCAAGCCTGGTGCTGAATCTTAATGTTCCCTCTAAGCTGTGGAGTCTTGTGAGCCAAAATTCTACTTTGTGAGCTACTGGCATTCAAGCTATGAGTGAGCCATTTGGCGACTGCATGAATTAGTTTGCTCTGGGGCCATCCTTCCTGAGCTGAGACAAAAATCTGTGAGCCAGAGGCTAAAAAACTGTGAGCCGGCTCACGCTAACTCAGCTTAGAGGGAACACTGGTGATATGCCCTACAATCTGAGAGGACTACCAACTGGTCTCATCTCTCTCCCCCCCACACTCCTGGACCCGAGAAAGCGTGTGAGTTCTCTCCCCGCCCCCACTGTGTGGTCCGAACGTTCGTCTGACTGCCTGGCCCACCCACCCACCAGCAATGCCTGACCCCCCCCCCCCCCCCCCCACACCCCCCCATTGGTGCACCCCCCCCCGCCGCGTACCTCCCGCTTGGGAGTGACTCAGCGGTTCTTGGTGCCCTGCTGACCCCTGCAGTGCAAGGAGGCGGCCTGTCAGGGCGCTTCTTCCTCCTCCTCCGTCTCCTTCCTAGGCGGCGGCCACGACAAGAACAACAGACGCTAAACAAGAGGCGTCAACGGCTCTCTGTGACTCGCGGCGCCACTTGCCAGCCCACCCAGCAGCCTTTCGCCTTCACTGCTGACCCCCACCGATGGAAGCCGCTGGGAAATGCCCACCGTTTGGGGAAGACGCCCAGCCCCGCGTATGGACCTTGAGAAGGGGCTATGACGTGCTTCGCCACCCGCAGATAAATAAGGTATATGGGGTATGCGGAGGGGGGGGGGGCGCTGTTTAGGGGGTAAGATGCGAAGCCGAGAGGAGGGGCTGCTTCGAATTGGGCGTGCTCCTCTGAGAACTGTCACAGCTCGAGTTTTACTCGGAAGTAAATCCCGCAAGATTCCCTGGAACGGGATCCTTACTAGAAAGTGGAGTTTAGGGTTTGCGGCATTAACATTCTGCCGCGAAGTTTCCCTTTTTGCACTGACAGGAAGCCGGGCGGCGTTTTCTGCCCCAGCTCCGCCCCAACTCGCTCGGAAAGGAGAAAACCATAAACAAAACAAGTTCTCCACGCCTTTCAGAGGAGGTCAGACCGAGGCTGCGGTCCCCGGGTCTGCTGCTGGTAAAGCGCCCGCCCGCTCTGCCCAGTCCTTTCCTCCTCACTTGACACCCCACAACGACTGCAAACACGACGTGCTTTGGTGGGGGTGGGCGTGTGAGTTGAGACAGGCAGACGGACGGACAAGCAGAGTAGTCGTCCGACTGAGCAACTCTTCCCCACGTGCACACCCTTCCCTGTTTCTGTCCTCAAGCTCTCGGGGATACTGACCACGGCGTGATCTTCTCATGGCGAGCAGCAGCTTGCTCTGACCGGTCCTTTGTTCTTGGCACGAGAACCGGGCGCTTTCAGCATAACCCGGGACTGCCTCTGTCATGCCAGGCTCATGCCACTGGCCAGCTATTTAACAGGGCACTCACTGTCAAGCCCTCTGCTACTGCTCTTTGCAACCTCCTGCCAGGCAACATCTTTCTCAGATGGTCTCCACTCCCCACAGGCTTTTGGATATGATGAACAGTGATATTTGGCGGGTAAGGGTCCAAGTAGACTAATTATGAAGTTATTTTTAAAAGATAAGGGACTGGGTTGGGAGACAACATGAATTCAAGGAAAATAGACCATACTGTATTAATCTTGCTCTTTTCTTGGGTGAAGGAAAAATCTATATGGATTTTAATAAAGCGTTGGAATGGTACTGCATAGGAAATTATTAAGTCCGAAAAGGTGGGTGTTGATGTACATACTGTTAAGGATGGGTACAAGAAGAGAAGTTTTCAAGTTGCATAGTACTATCTAGTTGAGCACCTTGGAGATTTAGCTCTGGACAGTTTAAGCAATGTTTTAATTAGCAAGGTGGTGTGGCACAGAATGATCCAGAAAGTATCCAGTTGAAATGTTGCCTGTGCCCTGAACTCACTAGAAGTTCAGCTAACTACTTTATCTCAGCTTGTTCTGTATTCAGTATAGAGATAATAATAATACTGGCCTATTTTATGAGGATGGTTATAAAGATTACAGCAAAATGTTACATGATGTGCTTTGAACCTTGAAAGTGCTATATTGCTAAGGATTAGTAGTAATACTAAATAGTTGGGAGGTAGGATTAAGTTCATGCAATTTGTTCACAGTTATACATTAAGATGTTACACTGAAGAGAATACTACAAGTGGGGGACGCCAAAGGACTTGTGGGGGGGGGAATCTCATCCGGCAGACCCACTCTTGCCTCATTCCCTCCCCTGAAAGCCCTATAGCCTCTCCCCTTCTCCTACTTCTTTCTCTCCTTCCCACTCACCAGACAATGTACATTTATTTGCTCTCATCTTTAGCCTTTCCTCCTTTCTTCCCCCTGGCAGTTTTACCTTGGGAAAACTCTGCATGACACTGGCTTCCAGGCCAGGCCCAATTGTGCAATAGGGAACCTGCAAGGAATTTTAGGGGGCACCTAACTTTCCCTGTATCCTCCTCCCTACTCTATTTCCTCTTTTCCTTCTAGCAGCCCCCATATCATCACCTGTTCTTGCTTCCTTCTCTTTCCCACTTACCAACCAACCTAACTTCTATCTGTCCCCCATTGACAGCTAGATTTTATGTACTTCATTTGTACCCTGCCTTTCTCCACAATAGGGACCCAAAGCAGCTTATATTTTTCTTCTCCATTTTATTTTCAAAACAATTGTGTGAAGTAATTAGGCTGTGTCTGCCCATGTCCCCAGTCTTTGGATTTAAGTATCCACAGATTTGGCCATGTTGAAAATTAGAGATATGCTTGATAATGGGAATTAAATGTAATATTATTCAGAAACATTATTGATGATTGTTTTATTACATAATAATCTTACAAGGTTGAATCTGAACCCTTTCTTCTTGAAGTGGAGGGACATGTCCACCTGTGCAAGAGGGGGCAGCAATTTCTATCACGTCCTCTTGCTATCTATGGTCTCCCATGCCATTCCCCACAGTCCATGGCACTTAGAATCAGCTTTGAAATGAAGTAGGGGATGGGACTGCATAGTGAAGGGAGAGTAAAAAAGACCTGTTCTGTGAGTGTAGATTTTGTCTCAGTTCTTTGGATGCTGTCCAGCATGCTTACATAACATTTTCCTCACACTCAGTTGCAGTGTGCTTTTGTTGTGGCATGCATTGTTTCACTACCCTAAGTGTGTAATAATGGTGATGTGGTGTGTAATTACGGACTGCCCATAATATATCTGCCCATAATGTATTAATCTGCCCGTGGTGTGTAATTACGGACTGCCCATAATGTACCTGCCCATAATGTATTAATAATACAGTTTCTCCAATCTACCTATGCCTTTTGGTAACCTCTTCCATATTTTTCTTTTTTACTTTTTGTCCTTACAGGGGAAGCACCCCTTTCTCTTTTAAAACAGGAACATTAGTTCCTTTCTACTGGCACTGGATTGGAGCTGGTGCTGCAATCAAAACCAGGCTTTGTTGTTGTGTGGAAAGTTCCTAGGAGTAAGGTCCTGTGTTTGGGACAAACAATTGCTAGTTTGGTTATTTGCTTTGGATTAATTAGCTGCTAACATGAATGATCTGGATATGCCCTGACCATGATAGTCCAGGCTAGTCTGATGTCATCGGATCTCAGAAGCTAAGCAGGGTCGGCCCTGGTTAGTGTTTGGATTAGAGACCTCCAAGGAATACCAGGGTCGCTATGCAGGGCCAGGGAATGGCAAATTAGCTCTGAACATTTCTTGCCTTTGAAAGTCCTATGGGGTTGCCATAAATTGGTTGTGACTTGATGGCAAAATATAAAAATGAATGAACTATCTGTGGAAATGAAAAATATAGTTAATCTGTTGTATCTCTAAAGAGAGCAAATTGAATGATTTGGTGTATTAGGCGAAATGCTTTGAATAGCATGCTATAGGACATTACTGATGCTTTTTTACAAGGCATTGGTGTGATCACCAGGGGTCGTTTTGTAGAAAAAGAGCTAGGGGAACTCATTAACATAACTCATTAGCATATGCCACACCCCCTGACATCACTGGAAGTGTGTCATAAGGCCACACACCCCGCCCCCAACGGTCCCGGCCGCCGGCGGCCTTGCAGCTCCACTGCCGAGCCCCATTAGGGGCCCGGCGGTGGACCTGCAAGGCCGGCGGGAGTGCAAGGAAGCCCCGCAAAGGCCCTCCCTGGCCCCAGGCAGGTAGGGGTGGGGAGAGGCAGGGAGGAAGCAACTTACCCTCCCTCTTCTCCTGCCTCCTCCTGGCTGAATGAGGGCTGGAAGCGGGGTGGCCGGAAGTAGGGGGCAGGGCTTCATCATGTGCCCCGCCCCCTGTACCTCACCCGGGGGAACTGCGATCCCCCGCGATCCCCCCCGAAATGACCTCTGGTGATCACACCAGTGAGATCAAAACAGGGAATTGTCTCCATGTGGAAGTAACCTAGGTTATGGACTTCAAGTGTAAAAAAAATACCAGTAGTTAGCATGTTTAAAGAAAATGAGAACTTTGCTTCTGAATACAGATTGAAATCAGATTGGCCTGTTTTACCTTAGAAGGAGAGTGACTGGGAGAAGATATAATGACAGTCTACGCATGTATCACAGTAGCAGGAGGGAAGCTATTTAACGTAGGCTGTGTACAAAGAAACATAACTGGAGAAAAGGAAGCATCAAGAAGTGCATTTACTATGTTATTTTTCAGAAGAACAGTTTCCTTCCCACAAATGGACTTAGGGACAACTGGTCCTTCCGGCTTGCAAGAGAAGCTAACTGTGTATAGCACTTTTATGAAGTCCCTTCTTCCCCTTTCCTGAACAGATTTCAACTTTATAAAAACAAATCTGAAAAACCCAATCAATAAACATTCTCTTGAATACATTTGTATGCTGCATTAACAGAATTCTTTGATGGCAGACAGTCTGCTTAAAGCTTGGGGTAGGTAACGTGGTAGATGTCTGCAGTTTGCCTGAAAAAGCAGAGGAAGGGGACTCTTATTTGCAGGAGAACAACATGCTACAAGACTTGTTCTAAGGTGTATTTGTATGCACTCTTAATATGGGCCTTTGAATCACTGGGGTATGTTTTTAACTGTTAACTTGCCAGTGTTAAGATACCAGTAAAATAGAAATCAAGTGGCATCTATACGACCCAAGTTTATCGCAGCTTTTCTGAGTCAGAACTCATTTTTCAGATGCACGATATGAAAGAAAACCATTTGGTATTATGCATCTGAAGAAGCAAGTTCTGACCCATGAGAGGTTAAACTTCAACTGCTTCCACATGAGTATCCCGCCCCCCGCCCCCAGGTGGGGGACAGCATGCTGCCAATTTATTGAGGAGCTTCCGCATGAGTTTGCACTCTTTCTCAGTGAGACTTGTGGGGCTTCCAGAGCTTTCCCTTTTAAACTGGAACAAAGAAAAACCTCTTTTGGCTCCCATTTAAAAGGAACATGCCATGTCAGCTGCAGGCAGAGCCTACCTGTGAAAGCTGTGCTCACAGCCAATCCTGGATGGGAGCTCCCACTGCAAGACCCTTGACAGGTCGATGCCTCTGCGCAGCTGCAACAAGGAGGAAGGAGATGGGGACGGGGACGGATGGCCCCAGAAGCCCGCAGTGTGGTGACGGAGCAGGTGGATGCCCTCCCCACATGCCTGTATCTCACTTACTGCTGGTTTAACTGCAAGGGCAGCTTTTCCTGCCTCCATTCGGGACCAGCCTGGGTTAT